TACCATATGATCCAGCTATCCCACTCCTTGGAATATATCCTAGATAAATAAGAGCCGTCACATGAATAGATATATGCACACCCATGTTCATTGCAGCACTGTTCACAACAGCAAAAAGATGGAAACAACCTAGGTGCCCATCAGTGTACAAATGGATAAACAAATTGTGCTAAAGCCACACAATGGAATACTATGCAATGATAAAGAACAACAGTGAAGCCGTGAAACATTGTATAACATGGAGGAAGCTGGAACTTATTATGCTGAGTGAATTTAGTCAGTCACAGAGGACAAATACTGTATATGACCACTATTATAAGAACTAAAGAAAAGGTTTAAACACAGAAGAAAACATTATCTGATGGTTACGAGGGTGGGAAGGGAGGGTGAGTGTTATTTACTAACTAGATAGTAGATAAGAATCATCTTAGGCGAAGGGAAGGACAGCACACACTACAGGGGAAGTCAGCACAACTGGACTAAACCAAAGGCAAAAAGTTTCCTGAATACAGTCAAATACTTTGAGAGACAGAGTAGCAGGGGTATGGATGTGGAGACCATGCTTTCAGGGTACATCTAGGTCGATTGGTATAACAAAGCTTATTAAGAAAATGTTCTGCATCCTACTTTGGTGAGTGGCGACTGGGGTCTTAAAAGCTTGCAAGTGGTCATCTAAGGTGCATCAGTTGGTCCCAACCAGCTGGAGTAAAAGAGAATGAAGAACACCAAAGACACAAGGAAAGTAGTAGCCCAAGAGACAGAAAGGGCCACATAAACCAGAGACTTCATCAGCCTGAGACGAGAAGAACTAGATGGTGCCTGACTATCACCAATGACTGCCCTGACCAGGAACACAGCAGAGAGTCCCTGATGGAGCAGCAGAAAGATGGGCTGCAGAACTCAAATTCTAGTAAGACCACCAGACTTAATGGTCTGACTGAGACTGGAGGTACCCCGGAAAGCATGGCCCCTGAATTCTCCCTCAGCCCAGAACTAAAACAATTTCCGAGGCCAACTCTTCAGACAGGGATTGGACTGCTGGACTGTGGGACATAAAGTGATGCTCGTGAGGAGTGTGCGTCTTAGCTCAAGTAGATACAAGAGACTAAACAGGCAGCTTCTGTCCAGAAGTGAGATGAGAAGGCAAAGAGGGTTAGGAGCTGGTTGAATGGACGTGGGGAATCGGGCAGAAAGGAAGAGTGTGCTGTCGCAGAATGGGGTGAGCGATTAGGGTCGTATAACAATGTATGTATAAAATTTTGTATGGGAGACTAACTTGAAATGTAAACTTCATTTAAACTACAGTAAAAAAAATGGGAAAAGAAGTTAATTCCCTATCAAGGATTTTATAAGTGTTTATAATTTTTAATAGAGAATAGTTAATTTACTTTGCTTTAGTAAAGCATAAAAAAACCCTGATACATATTAATATGTATATTTCATTAGGGTCATTCATTATAGGAGATCATTTAGAATAATTAAAAATGTCTAGTAAGATTTTACTTATTTTTTCAGAACTGTTTCATTGGCTTATATAAATATTGGCCTCATACATCTGTTACACCTGGATAATTACGTTGAAGCCATCTGGCAGTTTTCTGAAGCTATTAGAATTGATCCTTTATGTATTCAAAGCTATATTTGTCGAGCAGAAGCCTATCATAAGGTACTCAAAGTTTGAGAATCTTGACTTTTCAAGTAGTTTAAATTTTCTGATTATTTATTAAATATAATTTTTAATATATTAACGTATTGTTTTCTTTAGCTAATTGCAGAGGCTAATGCATTTGTAAGTAATAAATGTTAAACAGATATGGTTAACTATAATTGCACACTTATAAAGCTTCTACTTATTGGGTGTGCATTTTTATGTCTTACATTTTCTTTTTTTTATAAAACCTGTTTTTTTCCTTATCACAAAAGCAATGTATTTTTTATTGTAGGTTACACACACACACACACACACACACACACACACTTAAACACACCACAAATAAGAATAACCTAAAACCATCTATAATTTCATTCTCTAAAGATAATTACTGTTAGCATTTTGGAGTCTGTTGGTTCAGTGTTTTTTTTTTTTTTTTTTTTTT